TTAATGCTGGGGGTAACCCTGCGATGGACTAGCATCCCATCCAGGGGGGAGTAGAAATACTCCTAGTCACTTCATGCCACAGAAACCAGGATTACCTCTGGCCTGATGGGCGACTTGGTTCGTATTCAGACTTTATCTACCTTTACTGTGAGAGAAAGTGTTGAGTCATTGACAACTGATTAATAACAACAACATTGTCGTTATTTTCAGGTTAATGAAATAGCTTTCATTAATACACTGGAAGCCCAGAACAAGAAGATCGAAGTTCTCACCAGACACCAGGTGAATGTTGTGTAATTTCCTTAGGATACAAAATAGGATTGTCAAAGTTAATCGCAGTGTAATTATTTGTTAAGTAATAATAATAAAAGTTGGAAACTGACGATCTTCCTCAAGTTTGAACCGTAGCATTAATTAAAAATTTACACTTGTGATTTTAATTGTTGTGTTTTAGGGACATGAAGCAAGGCTACAAGACATTCAGGTAATCCGTTAACATGTACCTGTATTGCGTAAGTGCACGTCCAGTAAATTAATTTAGTATTGTCATTTTATTTTTTGTGGGAGTCTTGTTGGTACAAGTTGTGCCAAGTTGTTCTTTGTTATGCTAGCACTACATAGCCCAACATAGGACAATTTAGCACAACATAGCGCAACATAGAACAACATAGCACAACACAGCGCAACATAGCGCAGCATAACACAACGTAGCACAACATAGCGCAACATATGACAACCTATCACAATATAGCACAACTATGCACAACATAGCGTAACGTAGCGAACATATTACAACATAGCGTAACACAGCACAACATAGCGTAATATAGCGTAACGTAGCACAAAAATGCACAACATAGCACAGCTAAGTATACCTAAGTATACAACTAAGCACGACAAAGTTCAACATAGCACAACTAAGCAACCAAACTACAGTGCCCGTTTCATTGTACAGAAACAAGAACTGAATAATTTGGATCCTCCCATACCTGCATAAAGATAAAGACCTATGTCTTCTACCGTTGTAACAGTTTAACACCATTTTCTTGCTGTTAGTGGTTAAAGATGAATAATATTTTTTGCTGTTTCAGGAAGAGAGGCAAAGAAAAAAAGAGGAGCAGCAAGCAAAAGAAGCAGCTGCACAGGTACATGCAAATGTTTTAATTTTAATTAACAATAGTAAACTTCTTTGTGATCGGAGAATTAAATTTAATGGTTATGTGGTATGGTTGTAGGAGAGACGTCGGCAATTAGAGGCTGAAAGACTGGCGAGACTTGAAGAAATGCAGCTTAAAAAACTTGAACAGGTGAGCTTAACACTCTTGTGTTAGTACAGAGGGTGTTGCGAAGGAGTGCATTGTACCTCTTGTATGATAAAGATATCCATAAAGGAGCTTAGACACGGAATTTTGAATTGTTTTGGCCAGGTACAGAATTGCCTTTAACTGAAGGAAACCTGAAAATGATAGTTTACTAAGATAGAAAAACGCTAACGAGATAATAATAAACCATAAAGAAACAAGGATGGTTAAGGATGGAGAAGATTAACACAGATTACAAACGATAAAATTGAAACATTTAAGGTAAACTTTTTAAGATGCACAAGCCATGGCGTAGCTAAGTTAGTTAGCAAAGTTAACTACATACATGTAAGCTTGTGCTTTTTCTGCTTAAACAGAAACGAAGTCCAATCACTTTTGGTTCCTAGGATAGCATTTTAGCATTGAATCTCTTCATTCTCTTTTTTCTTGATTCGGTCACTTACCATGCTCTAAACTGTTTCAGTTTCATTCACCGCTTTTTCAATCGTGGTCTATTTAGGAAGCTAAATACAAAAGGGAAAAACACGAAAGAGAGAAGGCCAGAGAAGAAGCGGCAAAAGAAAAAGCCAGGTTTGTATGATTTGGCAATCTCTCAACTTTTGGTCTGAAGTTAGAAAATATCCCTTGCTGTCATATAATTTTTAGTTTTCATATAAATTTGAGTTTATATCTAGAATAACCTGCACGGGAAACCTTATAACTGCTTTGCTGCACAACCTGGACGGTTAAACCAAACCAACAGTAGAAAAAATTAACAGCTCGAGAGAATACCCGTTTGGTCAGAAAGAAATGGGAGTTTTTTGGTTTAAGGGTTATGAAGCGATTGGACAGGCTTTGTATCTACGTTCCGTACAAGGTTGTGTGGAATTAATGCTAAAGATTCATCATTTACAACATAGTCGAGTATATAAGTGAAGCGGACACACAATGTTCAAGATGACTAGAAATTGCGTTCTTCGTTCAATGATTGCTTTGTTTTGTTTTGTCAACAGAGAGAGGGAAATGCGTATTGCTGCTCGTAACGAAGCCCTGCAGACAGCAACAGAACAGCTGCAGCTTAAAATCCAACAGAAGGTAAAAAAACCACTAATTCTGCATGATGATATAAATAAGATGTGAAAGTTTTGTAAATCGTGTTCGTTTTACATGTATAATGTGGTATCTACGGGATGGGCCAGTCTATTTATACAGGGGAGGGGAGAGGGTGCCGGGACGGTTTGAGCATTTAATGCAACTAAATCACGGCATGAATGATTTTTAATGATATGGCGTTTTGGCTGTTCTAAAGGCAAAAAAATGTTTCCTTTGTTTTACAATTTGCAGCAAGCTGAAACGACAAGACGCCATGAGCAGGTGTTGGAACATGTGAAGGAAAAGGTAAATGAAATCCTACCTGTAAGCATCAGGAAAGTGAATTACCATAATCATATTGCAGTGTAAATATTTCTCCTGTTTAAACGAAACTATCAGTGTTTCATCTTTTTCTTCCACTTGCTCCAATAGGCTGCTGGTGTGTCACGCCATTCCACCCAAGACGAGGTCCCAGCTGTCACGCCATACGACAAGAAAAAGATGTGCTCTTTGTGTAACGTTGAGGTGAGTCGCATAGCAATCCCTGGTATCAGTGTGCTAAACACATTTGTATAGCAATAAAGCTGCGTGGAACTAGAGACAGTGATATTTTGTATATTTTTATATTGACAGTCTTGTGAAATCTTTTTGTAGATTGTGTCAGAAGTTTACTTGTTGAGCCATTTGCGAGGCAAGAAACATCAGCAAGCATTGTCTGAAATACCAGCAGCGAAAGGAATTGTAGAAGACAAGGTCAGTATGGTTTTAGATCGTCAGTGATATTCAGTAATCTTCGGGAGTCATCGGTGATATTTAGTCATCTTCGGGACTCATCGGGTTATATTCGGTAGTCTTCGGGAGTCATTGAGTGACCTTTCCACTCTTTGAATCATCTAAAGCAATCACCATGAGCATTCATCAACCTTCGGAAGTCTTCGGGTGACCTTCGGGAATCATCGGAATCCTTGGATACTTGTCGGCATTCGTTAGGCGTCTTCGTGTTTCTTCGGACTAACTTTGCAAATCTTTTCTTGTTCTCGTAGGATACGATTTCACTTCAGTACATCAAAGAAATGCCGTCAGACAAGGCAGACCAGACAGAAAAGGCGGATCAAGAAAGGCAGAAAGCTCTCAGAAAAAGAGCAAAAAAACTAAGAACTAGAATGGCAGCCAAGTGAGTTGCAGTCTTCTTTACAAAAAGTCCATCACTTCTTTGTCTCGCGCAGATCTTTCAATACAAAGCGAGGCATTATTGTTCCAGTCTTACAGAACTAATAAGTTGCTATAATTATCTTGTCCTTCACAGAGGACGAGAGTACGAAAGTAATTTGTCTAATTTATCATCACAAAGACAAGAATCTGCAAAAAAGCCGAGGTAAGAAAGAGATTCAGTTATTATGAGCTTCATTCTTATGTTTCGAAGGCGAGATATTCCTTTCTCTTAGTGGACTGGCTCTAAACGTAAAGATCTGCCGGTTAAGGCTACCCCAGGATTAAACGTTAACCGAAGGATTAATTTTTCTTGTTTAAAAAATGTTTTTCACTGCTTATCCTTTGTGTAGTTTGAGATTATTCAAACTCAAAACTGAAGGACAAACAATACAAACAGAAAACCTCACCGTAAAGTTACAAAGCTGAAATCAAAATTTGCGCTTATCCTGGGTTTGCTTAAAGGAGCTCAATTACGGTATTTTGAGTTATTTTTGCCTTGTTTACTAAGACAGAAAAACACCAAATAGATACTAATAAACCATAAAGAAACAAGGATGGTTAAGGATGGAGAAGATTAACACAGATTAGAAACAAAGAACTTGAAAAAACTAGGCTAAACTTTTCAAGATGTGCAAACTGTGACGTAGCTCTTTTAATCGGGCTTTGAACAACCCGGCCCTAATTGGAAATTATAGAGAAATAGGGAATTACACAAAAAATGCCAAAAGCACCTGGAGAATTATATACAAGAGGAAGTAATCATAGCCGGTTTATGGGATGAAATGTTGTGTTACTTATCACAAGATATTTAAGGCAGAATTGAAATCGAGGAAACCTGATTTGAAGTGATTAATCCATTTAAAGGCTGCCTAAATATGAAAAAAAAAACCGTGTGCTATTGCACAAATTTAAGTTTAAGTTTAGAGTGTTTGTCGTTTTATTTTCTTAGGCTTCAGAAAATTATCAAAGATCTCAATCGTCAGCTGCAGTCACAAGGGACTGGACCCTGGCCAGCGAATCGTGTTGGATCACTTGAAAGATCTTTAGGAGAATTAAGTAGAATTTTGGAATCCAAGGTACGTGCAATGTTTGTTATAAGCTGCCAGATCGGGGTAACAGATAATTTTTCAATTTAGGGTGTCAATAAGAAATTCCAACGGGTCAATTTCCACTGTTCCCACCAAATAATTATAAATTTTCTATTCATTTGTCGGGTCATGAAGCTTACCTTGTCGAGTTTTTGATCTGAGACCCCCTCTTGTAGATCGAGTTATTTGAACTGTACTGTTATTGTTGTTGCTGTGTGGAGCAGTCATATATATATATTTTTTATATTAAACCATTTTACTTCAGGTAACTGCTGACCAGGTGACATTTTGTAATCTCGGAGGATTGACAGCCCTGACCAGGGTACTGTTAGTACCTGACATTGCCAGTGACAAGCCTCCGGTAAAACCAATCATTCCAAACAAGTAAGTTCTGACAATAGTTCACTAAGGCAATCGTGTGACGTAAATAACTACAAGCAATTTGACGTACGATTCCTAGTGAGCGCTTGATAACCGGAGTTAGATTTTAGGCCGTAGTCGTCTTCAAAAGGCTGCTGGTCTCTTATTAGTCTTTAAATTGAAGGAAACCTGAAAATAATAGTTTACTAAGATAAAAAAAACACCAAAGAGATAATAATAAACCATAAAGGAACAAGGATGGTTAAGGATGGAAAAGATTAACGCGGACTGCAATCGACAAACTTGAAAAATTTAAGCTAAACTTTTTAAGATGTGCAAACCGCGACGTAGCTCCTGTAATGACTGAATTGATCGGACCAGGAGTAAATATGCTTTGGTTTCAGTCGGTATGTTATAACCCAAAGACCTTATTACCCTGTTTTGACGCCCAGTCAATACAAATATTATATTCAAGAATGCTAGTTTAACTTATTCTTAGTCATCTAGTTCTTGCATGGACAGATTTGTATCTTGTAACCACGTTCATTCGAGGCTTGTTCTGTTTTGTTAGAGCTCTTTGTAGCGTCGCCAATGTGTTGGCTCTTGCATGTGGTGACTGCTTGGACAACTGTCGTTACATGGTCTGCACAAACAAACTCAGCTCAGTTGTGGATCTTCTTGTTTACCAGATCAAGGTGGGTAAACAAAAAACCAGAAAACGTCACTAGAAGAGCCTTGCATAAAAGCCTGACCTCTTTATTGCACTTTCGGTATTGCACATATTTACCCATATCGTTTATTTCTGGCATTTTTGACCCGTAGTGTAGTCGTCATTTTGAATTTTAGATCTTCATGTTCATTGCTAGAGATAACCTTTGCGTTTTTCAAAGGCCTAATTTACCTTGATTGCATTGATGTGGGAGGCGCGTTGCGCGTGGTTGGTGAGCCCGTTTCCGAATCGAGTGGTCTAGGTTCGAGCCCTGGCCAGGGACATTGTGTTGTGTTCTTTAATCTCACAGTGCCTCTCTCCACCCAGGTGTATGAATTAGTACTGGCGAATTTAATGCTGGGGGTAACCCCGTGACGGACTAGTATCCCATTCACTGGAGAGTAGGAATACTCCTAGTCGCTTCATGCTACAGAAACCGGGATAAACTCCGGCCTGATGGGCCACTTGGCTCGTATAGAGACTTAAAATTACGTTGATAGTGATAGTAATCCCCCCGGAGAGTAGCCCACCGATGAAAGCGACTATTATAGGATAGTTATCTCTTGTACTTACCATAGTATCATATAGAAGAGCTTGGTGTTCTCTGAGCTACTTGGCGGTGTTTGGAGACAATATGTCGTGTTTGTCCACACAGGGTGTCCCTCAGTCCCATGGCACGTCAAAGAAAGGAGCGGAAAAGGAGACTGGAAGTGGTGCGGCAAACCAGTCGTTACCAGACCCCTTAGCAACAGCGCTGTTGAAGGTCCTAGCCACAGTGCTTCAGTGCTTTGCGACAGCTTCGCCTGAAGAAAAAGAAGTAGCGACCCTCGTACAAAGAATGGTAGATTTGATCGGGTAAAGCTCCTCTGACTGAAACAGTAACTCTCCTTAATGATTTCCATACATTTCCTGTTGTGTAAGTCATGAGTATTTGGTGGCGCATCAAGACAATCCCTAGCTGATGATTTTGCTGGGCTTAGTGTTACACATGCAAAAGAGACCTTTCGTACTCTCGTATTTAATTTTAACAGTCACTTCAATTTTGCATCTCTCTTAGCTATGTGGTTTGTTCTGGAGTAGTAGATGACATCAGAAGTTTCTTTAGTACAATTCACGGTTCCTTAAATGAAGATCCCGCTGCAGTGAACTACGCTCAGGCTTGTTTGGCTCTTTTATCAGCAACTGCTCAATATCTTGGTTCACGGTGAGTAACCTTTACATATGTTGATTTCGCCAAGCCTAAAAGCGGATCTCCTGATTACAATAAGTTAGCCTGGCTTGAATCCGCGATCCAATCGAAAGCTAGTACCTTGTCAGCGGTCAAAGTGACCTCGATGGGCTCTAAACTTAAGCTCGCGATACGGTAATGTGATACTGGTCAACGGATACCTTTTTTTGAACGGTGTCGATTGGCTTTCTCCTTATGAAGTTCATAAAGATACAATCACAGCTTAACAAAGGCCAATGGTCTTTAACTTCTTATCCACAAATTAATTCATAGGTTAAAATCACCTTACGGTACAGTAACACTTAAGTCCTATAATGGCATTGTAAAAACGCTTATTTTAAACGTGAATGGTTACACACAAGGACCTCGCCTTGTGGCTTAGCACGTAGTGTGACAGGAATGCGTGACTCATAAAAAACTTTTATGGGACTGGTCACGCTTAAGAATTTCACCTGTGAACTAAAAGCTAGAACCACCGTGTACAGTATACTCCTAGCAAACTATTCACGTTATCTCGGGCATAGGCCATTACATTTTGTACAAGACCGTCTAAGAGTCACTTGCCACTTTGTTTTGTTTCAGGTTAAGTAATATTTTTGAAACAAGGAAAGAAGACCTCACTCAATTTGTTGTGACATTTCAACAGACCGAGCTTGTAGGTAAGTGAAGTTCAAAGCATGGAGAATACGCAAGTCTCTCAGCTGTGTTCTTCCACTGTCTCAGTGATAGAGTCAAGTTACAAGTTGGAGATTCATTCAGGCCCCGTCCGTATTACGCCGAAGAAATTTGAAAACGCAGCTTCATTTCTACGGTTAGGCGTACTGTCCACACTAATCCGTCACGAAAACGGAGCTTTTTGAAAACGCTCTTCAATCCGGAAGACTTTGAAAACGCCGGCTTTTCGTTTTCGTTTGGACGGAAAACATTTTGAATCGGAGCTTTTCGAAAACGACAACACCACGATAATCATGTGATTTCCCGGCTCAAGTTTCCGTAAACAAAAATTCAAATGACCGGTGATTGTTGCGTTTTCAAATTTCTCCGGCGTAGTGGGAACGGAAAACATTTCATGCGTTTTCAAATATCTCCATCGTAGTGCGCACGGGGCCTCTGCCTTCTTTCCTTGTGGTTGGTTTTTTCCATTGTGCTACCTGACCAAACCTCGTGGACGTTCTCTTATCCTTTGTAGAAATCGTATCGTTTCTGTATGCCATTCTAATGAATGCTGGGAATGCGCAGTCCTCATCGAGTTCAACACCTTCAGAAGCAACGATAAACTTGGTGACAGAGGCGCTGTGTATGTTGAATTTCATGGGAACTGTAGATCTTAAGGTGTTGCAAGTAAGTGACGTAGATTAAAATTTCAAGTTTCGTTTCATGAAAATGATTTTTGGAGATGGAATGGCAATTTGAACTTGTCTTGCTAAGGTAATGTTATTTTTGCGGAGAAGGGAAAATCTTGGAATCCTAATAAATGGAAAACTTTGTGTAGAGGCAAAAAATAAAATCTAGTTCATATATTACGCCCAAGTGTCAAGTACAGCCTTCATGGATTTAACCCTGACACCAGTGCATCATTTTACCGGTCACGCGTACCCTAAGTTCTTTTTCTGTGTTTGTTTGCAGACTTGTTTGGGAGCAGAAGGAGTTTCTCTGGAATTTCGACATATTGTCAGTTACCTTTTGTGGTGAGTGGTTCGCTCTTGAAGCGTTCTTTGGTAGAAAACTTTTTTAACACGTCCGTACTTGCTACGGTGACTCTCGCTTTATCGTTGCTGTATAATATTTATAAAGCGTGTGAGACGTTTAGGTTAAATCGTTAAAGTTTGTCGCTTGTAACCCGTGTCAATCTTCTCCATCCTTAACATTGAACTTTTTATGAAATTTGCGCCTTATAAATGTTATTATTATTATT